TCTCCCTTACACTTTAAACATAACAATAGGAAATTGATACTATGGTAATCTTTCTTATTATGATTATTATTATAAGAATACAATATAAGATCTACCCTCTTAGGAAATTTTTAAGTATACAGTACAGTATTGTTACCTATAGGCACTATGCAGTACAGATCTTTAGGATGTATTCCTCTTGTATGACTGACACTTAGTACCTTCTGACACATAATACAGTAATCTTTCAAACCACTAATGCCAGTACCAACTTATGATTAGTATAAGAGTTAGAAGAGTTTTTCCTTAGCATACATTTCTTGTGAGATAAATCAATACAATCACAATCTTCTGGGAAGGCAATTTGGTCACATATATCAAATACGTAAAACTGTTTAAGACCTGGGAAATTCCTTTTTGGAAATGTATCCTTAACAGCAGCTCCTAGAGTAACTCCTGGTGGGTTAGTAAATGCTAACACTGGGATCACACTGATACAAAGTAAAGGATCTAGAATTTGATCTTGGGCACTGGTTCCAAAGCCTGCAGCTCTGACGACTTCTGCTGTCTTAGCCACAAAGATGTTCACCATGGCATTGTTTATAACATGGAAAGTTTAGAAAGAAACTAAATGTCCATCAGTGGATATAAGTTAGATAAACAATAGTATATTTATTGATAGGACACAAAACAGGACAAAAAAACTGAGTTTTAGAACAAGTTTGCATGGACAAACCAGATATTGGTTCGGTTCTGGCAAAAGGCATAAAACAGCGCATGCCTTTAGCTATTCCAGTCTATTAAATGTTCTCTTTGGATGGTGAGATTTTCATTTTTCTTCTTGGTGCTTTGTTGTTTCTTCCAAGTTTTCTAAATGAACTTGAAATCCTTTTGCACTAAGAAAAAAATTACTAATAAATTTTTCTCTGCATCAGTGTAGCCCACTCAAAATATAATGCAAACCATATACATACCTTAAAATGTTCTTGTAACCATAACCACATTAGAAGTAAAAAGAAACAGGTGAATTTAAAAATCTCTTATTTAACCTATGTAGCTAAAATATTATCATTTCAACATGTAATCTATATGAAAATACAAAGAAGTAAAATATTTCCTCAATAACATTCAGTCTTCAGAGTCACTTTAGCACATCTCGTTTGGTCTCACATTTCACCTCAGTAGCCAAGTGGCTAACGGCTACCACACTGGTGTTCACTTCCACAACACATATACGAATGGCTACAGATCCTTGGCAGAAGCTACACTTGCAGATCAAATGTGCCCACCAAATCATGGCTCTGAAACCCTCCACTAACCTCAGTCTCCATGTAACCATCTACATCTGTGCCAAGCTTCTTCTTTAAGAGAAGAGATGTGTTTGGGAGACACATATGTGGATCTGAGTTTGAATACTCCCCTTAACACTTATCAGCTGTGTGATCTTCATTGAGTTTATTAACTTCTCTGTGCCTCATTTGACCTGTTCTATAAATGAGGATAACACCTACTTTTGAAATAATATATTAAAACACCTAATACATGGAAAGCACCTTACCGCAGATTTTTATTATCTGCCCCCTGCCCTATACAATCTTCTTTACATAAAATAAAGGTTAGACTTAGCAGGAGGCAAGACAAGATTCTTAAAACAGATGGTAGGAAATCTCACTTAAAATAGTCCTAGAAGTAATTTTTAGACAGGGAGCAGAGAGCCTAGTTAGGGGAAATCCACCTGTGTATTTTAAAGGGGCTACCTCAGGGAGGGGAATGAGTGGCATACATCTTTGCTTGCTTCATACAGCAAAGATTCAATCCATTAAACAAACAGATATAAATTATTGAATATATGCCAGGTATTCTGCTAGACAAAAGGAATTAGGAGTATCTTTTTTAAAAAGGAAAGAAAAAGGGAGGTATACCCTTAACTTAATGGAGGAATGAATGAATGAATGACTACTTAACCTTTTCTGATTTTTCTCAACTCAGTTGTCCATTCTTTGAGTTACTTATTTCACCTAAGATTTTCTCTACCACATTATTAAATAGTGAGTTTCTTCCAAAATGCTCAAATGAAATATGGTCAGTCTATTATGGCTGAATCTAGGTGAATAGTATATGTGTATTCAACTTTACTGCAGGTTTCAAACATTTCAAAAATAAAAATTGAAAAAAAAATGACCAATTATAAAAGGTAATTATCATGACATGTATCAATGGTTTTATAGCATCACTGTTTATACCAGACATCAGAAACTACACAAATGCCCCAAAGAGGTGAATATCTAAGAAAATCCTCATAACCAAGAGGATGAAACACTATACAGCAACAGATTCCCACCTGTAGACATTGTCAATTCACAGAAACTTAATAATGTGAACTGGGGAAAGAAGCAGAATAGAATCCATGATGAAAACAATAAAAATATATGAGATACACATTTACAAAAACTATACATCTATTTGACCAGGTAGGAATTTTACTTCTAAGTAGGTTGCCCATGTTCATTAATAAAAAGGAAAATAAATAACATATATGGCAAATGCTGTTTGATAAGCAAACTTATGCCCTGTTAGAGGGGCAAGATGGATGGGGAAAACTGCCTATCTAGTCAAAGAGCACCAGCAAAGGAGGGCCACCTTTCATTACTTATGTGTGGGGGCCAAGGGCAGGCGGTTCCACATGTGCCATTGCGACAGGTAGATTGTCAGAGCTGAAAACAAGGCCCAGATGACTCAGAAACTTTGACTTTTCCTCTACCAAGTGCATAAAAGGATTTAGATGAAGGAACTGCCCCAGGAGAGTTATCACCATAGCTAGCAATGCTAATGCGAGAGATGTGGTAGATATGTCTGTGAAATTCTCAGTATGTCCCATTGTGTCTGTGAGGCCCACCAAGCATTTTGTTTACCAAACATTTAGTCTTTCACATCCCTGTGAATCCCTTCCCTTTTTCCTGTGAGGTCTCAGACCCCTCCCCACTTCTCCTTAGTTCAGGATGACAGACACACCTCATTGTCCCAGACTGTCTTTGGAATCGATGTCTACGGATTCTCTGTACTGAACACTGTAATTAACTTTTGGTTTTTGTCCTCCTGTAAATCTGTCTCATGTCAATTTGATTCTTAGACAAGCCAGAAGAACCTTGAAGGGCAGAGGAAAGGTCTTCCTCCCCAACACTTCCGCAACTGACTCCCAGGTGGAGCTTAACCTACTACTTGGAACCTCACAGCCCATCTGGGATTTTTCTTAATCTGCGTACTTATTATGAACAACATATGCAACACAAACATTTGACTGCTAGTGTCAGATTTGATTTTTACATGGTAGCTCTCAGTGCTTTAACCACAAGAGCGCATACAAGGTTAAAAAACAAAGTCTGCTGTTTTTCACTGTTACTGTAGTCTGACATGCAGAGTAGATCAAAATAGCTGGTTCACACTAAGAAAGAGATTCCCCAACTTTCACAAGCACTTTGTGCTTGAAAACATAAACAACTTGCCAAGGTCATTTAGTACTTAAAATTAACAACATCCTCATCATCTTGTGATTTAAATGATGACTGAACAATAACTCAAGTAGTTGTGTTCTATATTTCCTTTATTAATATAATCAGTATTCTTAGACCTTTTAAAAGTGTGCCTCTCTAGCTCTAGGGAGAAATGTTTTCAAAAGGTTGAATACATACATATGCTGATTCAAGATATGATTTCTCACACATCCAACCTCTATAACTTTGAATTATAGGGCAATATAGAGTAATTCTGGCACCGACTGTTCGACAAAGTTGTTTAAAAACAAAGATCGCATTACACACACAGCTCAGGATTTTTATTTTGCATTGCACATAAGTAAATCTATGTACTAATTCTTTAATATAAAAACCATGACCTTAATGTTTTTTTTCCTGGAAAGTGATTAAGAATATGGTAATTGAGAGACTCCGAATTGGTTCGAAAGCTCAGAGCTAAAATCCAGAGTTTGAAAACACCTTATAAAGAGTTCAGATATAAACTGCATTAAGTTGACAAAACTTGACTTAAGCATTACGTTTTCAGGTAATCTCTTTGGAGGGACCAATATAATAAAAGATTAAGAAATTATAATATCTGATAAAACTATTTGCCCTGTCCCCAAAATGTCTAAGCCTTTAAGTAGAATGATCTGAGTGCCAATCCTGGTTATAAAACTCACTATCTGGGAGATCTTGGGCAAAATGATTTCCCTATGATTTAAGTTCTCTGTCATAAAAATGATAGTTACTTAGTATACAGTTAACATTTGTACTTAAAAACTTAATACAATTTCTAAATTAAAACAATAAGGCAATTAAATGATAAACACAAAAACGCTAGAAATAGTACCAATCACTAACACATATTATCTAGAAATTGTCTTATTTGAATGATAATTTTTAAAACAGACTTTAGTATCAGAGCCACATTTTTTGCATAACTTTGAGCCACAATGTTAATTAAACATGACACAAATCTTCCCAGCAGAACTGTACTATTTAAGATTAGAAGAACTGGTATAAGTGATAGTTTTGCAAAACTTTAAGCTGCAGGGCTAATTATACATGACATAGAATCTCACCAACAGAACTATACTATTTTAGCTTAAGATACTTGAAGAAATAATACTAATAGTTTGAGCCATATTTAATGAAGCCAACAAAAAGGGAAACCTGAGGTGGATAAACGGACTCCCTTGGCGGTTTATTTTAGAAAAGGAATTAAAACACACATCCCAGGCAAGCAATGGCAAGATCCTGAACTCCATTAACACACAGGCTCACTGACGCCTAATGACAACAGAGACATTGAGTAAAATTCAGGACTTCCTACGCTACCCTGACAAAACAACACACACACAACAGCAGAAAGCAGCCAGGACGTGAGGCTCTGGTTTACCTGCTCGGAGACCATCTGTGCAGCTCAGGAGAGGGGACACGAGGCTAAGGCATGCGTAATGAATGGAAGCGAGGAGAGGGTTTGGGAAAGTGCACGACGAACCCTACCTTCCACAGACTTCCCAATACTGTGTAAGTGAGTGATGGAACTGTAGTCTTGGGCAATATTTTTCAAAAACGCTTCCATCTCTTCCTGGTGGTGGTAGCCGAAATCCAGAGCGGCCACCGACCGCAGGAGCAGCCCTAGCCAGAGGCGGGCGAAGTCCATGTTCTAGAGGCGAGTAAGAGCAATAATAAAGCTGAGAACACATAAGGAAGCGGGGCGGGGTGGACATGCCTAGCGCCAGCTCTGCACTCTCGTGTCAGGTCCCCTAACGCTATCGCTCCCCGCTTCCTAAGGAGGTAAAAGTTGGAAGCAACGCACTCAGGAGTTTGCGCCCGGAGTACGGTGAGCCCCGGACGCCCTCCATCCTGCCCCCCGCCCTCCGGGTCCTCCTCCCTGGACCGCAGCCCGCCGGCCCCAGCGACCGCAGCAGCTACGCGGTCCCGGGGCACCCCAATCTCACCCCAAGACAGGCGCACACCTCCACCCGCCCGCCGCAGCCCAGCGGGGCGCGACCATATAGACCGGCCAGAGGGGCGGGCACACCCGGGCTCCGCCCCGGCGCCTGACGGACGTCGCGCTGGCCCACTCAGGCGCCACGCGGTCCCTCCTGGGCGTGGCGGGGCGGAGCCGTGCGGCCCTGGTGCCTAGGTCCCTTTGGCACCTGGGCGAGCCTGTCCCGGCCGCACGCCGGGTTCCAGGTGCTGCGTGGGCTGGGGACCAGCGGTCGCGGGAAACCGCGTGGCCCGTCACGAATTCAGTTTTTACCAGGGCCGCAGGTGGAAAGTGTGTTCCTGTTGCGGCCGCGGCTCCGGCCACTGACTGGGTCCAGGGCGCTCCGCCGAGGGACACTCGGGCGTTTGGGTGTTTCCGGCCGCAGCGAGTTTGGAGAGCGTAAAAGCGCGGCTGCTTGCGCGTCTGGTGGTGCGGGGGCCGCGCCCCTGGCTCACCCGGAGCCCCGGGACGTGCGGTCGGCTCTGCGCGGGCCCTTAAGGGTGTCTGCGGCCGGAGTAGCAGGGGCTGCGCTGCCAGCCCTGTTCTGCAGTCTTGTGTGTTTAAGAAAGAAAAACCCACGCGTATAGAAGTTTTAAAGGCCGTCAGTGTGCAGCCTAGGAAAATTTCCAACCACTTCATGTGGTGTATGATATTTGGCTAAATCGAGATTGAATTTTAAACTGGAAATCACGTGGAAGAAAGCAGAGCCACTATTTGTAAATCCAAGGCTCCCTCCACCAACGCTTACTTCCTACGCCAGTTTTCAGTTCTTCTTCCTAAAACGTTTCTTCGTGGACGGACGGGGTGGTATGGGTTTGCGCTAGGGAAAACAAGGACTTCACTTAAACCTCAGGCGGTTTGTGGTGAGGGCAAAGTCCGCACACACCTGTCGCACATTACCTGTCAGAGTAATAGAAACTCGTGTCAAGGGCCCAGTGAATATAAAAGTATGAAAACTACTGATTTGGGATAACATTCCTCTTCAATAGACAAAAATGGTGGCACCAGGGCTCCAACCCCAGACTAACTGAACAGAATTCCTCTCAATGACATACAGGAAAGGATATATTTTTCAAGTGCCTGGAGTGAATCGAATGCGCCCTCAAGAGTTAAGAACCGCTAATGACTGCCTGCCTCTTCTTTGTTAGAGATACTGATACACTGTTGTAGAATTCAGCTCTTAGGAACCCTGAGGCCTCTTGTGATTCCCAGGCATTAGAGAGGAGATCTTTAAGACCTAAGACTTAAGCGTTCCATAATTTGGGTCAGAATCATTCTTTGGACTCCAGTAGTTAGATCACTGTGCCTTAGTTTCCCAGTCTGTAAAATGGAAATAATAATTATACCTATCTAAGTAAGGTTAGCAGGCATGTTGTAGGAATTGTGTGATGTGTTTATTAAATCATCTCCTTTAATTAAAAAATCTTTAAGCAGGATTTTTTAAAATTAGGAAAATCTTCATATGCCATTGTTTTTTTGAGTGGATTTAAAAATAAAGTATATGGCAGTTACAATACAATTACATCTGTTCTACTAGATGGCTTAAAGAGGCTCTTTGATTGTTTTTCATTGACTAAAAGGCCTGAAAGGAGGTGGAATGGGGTTGAGGAGATTAGTTACAATTAGGCAAAGTTACTATAAGAAATAGGAAAGGAATAAAGTGAAAATTTGCTGATCTGACTTGAGAAAGCATACATTTGCTGTAGAACCAAATGGCAGTTACTTGATTCCCTTTATGGTGCTGCGGCTGGAGACTGGAGGAAATGGTGGCTTGGTCAATACTGGGATGGAGACTGGAAGGGTTGTTCCAGAAAAACGAAGGGGTGAAGTAGTTGAAATTACTGCCCATAGGGTTCATACTAGTTAGGAGGGGAAGCAAATTCAGAAGAGAACCAATCGAGGATGGAAGTAGGGAGTACAGAGGATTGAGGGCTGAAATTCTGGAACATGGTACTCAAAAAGTGTGGTCTGGCATTAACATCACCTGGGAGGTTGTTGAACATGCAGACTCCCTTGTCCCATTCCAAACCCACTGAATCAGAACATGAATTTTAGGAAGGTTTCCAGATAATTCATTTGTGTATTCAAATCTGATTTTCACGGTCCAGAGGTTAAAAAAAAAAGGCTTAGAGTTAGAGTGTGAAAAATACAGAAAAATGAAAGGTTTGCCTAAGGGTAAAACACTGAAGTTTAAGACTTCAGAGGTGATTTTTCCAAGCATGACACCACTAAAGGTGAAACTATAATAAAAAGCCTGATAATTTGACAACATAAAAATATATGCCTTCCATAGTGGGAGACTCAGCATAAAGATTCCCAGAAAAATTACAAACTGGGAGAAAGAATTAATAGCTCTTAGAAAATCAAGAATGGGCAAAGGACATAGGCAGTTCACAAAAGCAGTAATACAAATGGCCAATAAACACAGTGCAAGTTGCCAACCTGGTTATCAATCAAAGAATTACAAGTTAAAATGACACAGAAATATTTGTTCTGCTTAGCACTGAGAATCAACAGCAATACTTGGAAATAAATAAGATCTGAGAAAATGACATTTCTGTTACTTTAACGCTACTATTAATTGATACAGCCTTTCTGGAGGACAATCTGGGAATAGATACCAAATTTAAAACATGCTCTTCCTTGCTAGGAATTTAAGGTATAGAAGTTATTTGAAAAGTGCTGAATTTATATATATTTGGATTTCTATAATCACCACTGTTTTTAATTGTGACAAAGTAGATAAATGTAAATGTCTGATTGATTATATTAATGGTTCTCACCTGGGGGCAATATTGCCCACAGAAGACATTTGGCAATAGCTGGAAACATAAACATTTGTGATTGTTGTGACTAGGGGAATGGTGCTACTAGCCTCTAGATGGTAGAGGGCAGAGATGCTGCTAAACGCCCTACAATGGACAACGCAGCCTCCCGCAACAGGTATCCAGCACCAAATATCAATAGTGCTGAGGCTGAGACATCCTGGGTGTCTTGCTAATGGGTTTCAGCCCTGGGCAAGTTGACTCTTGATTCAGTTAAACTGAAAATTAACAGCGGAACATTCTTGGGGTGAAAGGGTTTATACCCAACTTTATTCCCATAGTGGCAGGTCAAGCACAAGAGTCCTATCCTCCTCTGAGCAAGTCTGCATGCAGCAAGCTGGTCCCTCTCAGCCTCTCTGCCTCCACAGCCATCTCAGTCTCTGTTCTTGGAGCTGCCACCACCGCAGCCTCTGTTCTCATGCAGCCCTGCAGGCCCAGAGCACTGGGTGGAGTTCTTTATATAGAGTCAATAACAACTTATTGCCCATATGTGTGTAGAGAGCAAGCCGACCAAGGACAGGTGAGAATCCTGGCCATAGGAACTTTCACTTTCTCTACAGTGGGTTAGATAAAGAATATAATGGCCATACAATAAATTATTTTTCAGCCATTATAATGATGATGTAGATTTGCATTTATTGGCTTGGAAAGATAAATCATTGGTGGTAAATAGCAGATTATAATAAACAAACAGTAAGACCCCATTTTGGAACACAAACAAAAAACTATCCTTAACAAAAAGTTTAAGCATTACAAAAATGCTAAGTCATAAGCTCTAGGTTGTACTGTTTTGATTTTCAGTTAGAATCTTTCTGTATTTTCTGAAAGTTTTTTCTAGTAAACATGTGTTACTTCTCTTAATCAGAAAAACAAGACATTTTATCTAAAAGCAAAACAGAGCCAAAAGCATAGAAATGTCAGATATGAACAGTTCTGGATGAAGACAGGGTCTCAAATTTCTTTGGACTGAATTACAGAAGTGAAGAAGGTCACTGGGAATGAGATAGTAAGGAATTGAAAAGCTAGGATGATAGATTAATCCTACTCAAAGCCTGAAGTTTCTTGAGATAGGGGCAGGAATTCGATCAGAGGGAAAGTCTGCAGCCAGAGCTAACTAAATACTTCAACAGAGGTCAACAAGACTGGAAAGAGCAATGAAACTAGACTCTGTGACCTTCAAGCTTTCTTTGTTCTTCTTCCAAAAGTGTCACAAGAAAATATGAACAACATAAAAGAAAATTTTAAAGCCTCAAATTGGCCTTACCCAGAAACAACCACTCTTAAAACAAATTTAGGTATTAATCAGTCCCCTAATATTGCACATTTGTTTCTGATATTTCACTATTACACACAGCACATTAATAAACATTCTTACAGCCAAATCTTTGAGCACACCCTGTCTCCTTAGTATCAATTCTTAGATATGCAATTGCTAGGTAAAAGAGTGTGTGCATTTTTAAGACTTTAAAAATATTTAGCCAAGTTGTACTCCTATAAAATGTCAAAAGTATGATTTCAAAATATTAAAAAAGTATTATCATGCACTGTAAACACAGGTCAAGTTTTTATTTTAATTCATTATTGGGAAACATCAGCAGTAAACAAAGCCACTTCAAAGAAAGATGTGAAAAATAATATATCATTTTTAAGAAATAATATATATCATTTTTATGGATAAGAACATGAAAATACAGAGAGGTTAAGTAACATGGTCAAGGATACACAGAAAATGACAGAGCTAGGGTTTAAGTTCTGATAGTCCTGGCTCCACAGACTGCATTTAGCAATTTACTGCTTCTTATGTATATTGATGCTCTTTCCTTCTGGAGTAACATTTATAAATCAGCAAGCATGTACTGACACTGACCTAGATGCCATGAGGAAAACAAAAAAATATAGCACATGATGAAGTCATTCTAAATATTGCTAAATTTGATATAAATTTGCTTAATGTCCTACAGAGCAATAAAATAAAATATTTGGTGCTGTTTTCTTTATAGAGAGGAAACCATTTTCATTGTTAGAGAACAAAAATTATTTGGATCTCCATTAGACAAAAATTTTAACATCTTACCAATTTTCTATAAGTTAACATCTAAATTTATTTTTTAAAAGACAAGTGTTAGCTTATGTTTCTAATTAAAGAAATTGAGTCCATAATTAATAAGCTTCCAAGCCAGAAAACACCATATCCAGATGGGTTCACTAATGAATTCTACCAAACA